TAATAGGCTTGTTCGCGTTGCTTGCACTTTTTGCACTCAGCATCTTCGCTTTCTCTCTCTCCAACGGCCGAATATATATTTATCTCATTTCAAGTGCAAAAATGTTTGGGGATTTCAAGCAACGCGAACAAGCCTATTATCGACATCGAGGAAGTTCGCCAGTCACTGCAGGATCCCCTTAAAGGTGGAAGCACATAAAATTGCAGGAGCCATGACCAGAATGCAGAAGCCATATGCGCATGCGCTGTGGTATCTGTTAGAGCTCTTTAGATACCATAGCGCATGCGCATATGGCTTCTGCATTCTGCTCAAGGCTCCTGCAATTTTATGTGTTTCCACCGTAGGGTTGGTTTATAATAGCCGTAACCGTTGATTTAAGCCGTAATCTTTAAGAAATTGACCAATCACAGTCGATTATTCTTCTCACATTCAACTGTGATTGGTCAATTTCTTAAAGATTACGGCTTAAATCAACGGTTACGGCTATTATAAATCAACCCTTAAGGTGGAATTTGTAGAGCTCTACAGATACCACAGCGCATGCGCATATAGCTTCTGCTTTCTGCTTTATGGCTCCTGCAATTTTATGTGCTTCCACGTTTAAGCTTTTCTTTCTACATTACGCTCACAGTTCATGCTGCCTCACCACTCGAATGGAAATAGATCTTGAGGTGCTATTCCGAACGCCTAGTTAACTAAAATGCTATAGTTACGTCACGTACATACACTATAGCATTTTAGTTAACTAATAGCGTTTTCGATTGCGACTCAAACCGACTCGGGTTAGGGATCCTCTAGAGAGGGATCGGACTAACCGTCGCCATTTGTTTCAAAACCGGAAGTGGTATATTCAGCGGCAAAACTCAAACGTGTTTCAATGCAAATGTGTATATTTTATATAATTAGACATGACAGACGCGCGCTACGCGCGTGTTATTTAGCTTTAATTATACAATTCCTATTACATTATACTATTAACGAATTAATACACAAACTGTCAAAATAAGTAATGATAGATGTTTACAAAATAAGTGCAATAAAAAAGCAATCAGCATCGCGGAAAAATGTCAACAATGAAACTTTACATGACTTTTTTATGAGTGAATTATTCTTATACAATGAGAAAAATAAAATATTTCATATTTAAATACCGAAAATGTTGTACAGTAATTCTTACAGTTATAGTTTATTTACAAATAATAAAATATAAACAAATTTTTTTAGTGATAATTGGTGCGCAAGAGTTCCTTTCGTAAAAAATATTTATTGATTCGTAAAAAATATATATTGATGACAAAAAACAGATGTAACTTAAAAGAATAAATATATAAATGCAAAAATGTTCAAAAATGTGTATATGAAGTGTTTGAAAATTGCTGAATCGTGTAAAATTAATTTGTGTATAATAAATGTATAAAAAAATCTTGTAAAACTTGATCAGTCACATTTTCGATTTATATTTTAATCTTGGTGTCGAGATCGGAGGATAATCCAGCGGTGTCTTGATCCAAGTACCGTGTCCTTGCGTTTCATGTGATGCCGATTCGACGCAAACTGCTATAGGTACATGCTGGCGGGCACCAGACGGAATCTTCTGTGATATTCGGGTCGTAACGCCTCGTCGGAACGGAAGGTCTCGGTCGCGTATTTCCAGAAATGCGTGGAAAATGGCAGGCAGCTTTCTAAATCGTACACCACCGTTCTTTCGTCAGGCGCGTAGATGAGAATAGCCTAATAGTCCTACAGAAATAGAGCAACGTTTCACGTGAAATAATCATAGACGAGGCAAGGGCACCGTAAAGTTCCTTAACTAATTATCGTTTCACTGGCGTACTAACCTACACGACTAACTTGTCCTCGTCCTTCTCCGATCGTTGACGCCAAAGGAGAACGCTGCGTCGTAGGTTGACGAATGACGACGACGACGACGCGCGACGACGACGATGACGATAACGATGACGACGACGACGGCGACGACGACAGGGTATACCGTGACGACGCGGTTTTCTGTTTCCTGCGACTGCCTTTCTCCGCTCGCGCGAGCCACGCTCTCTCTCCGTCCGTTCGTCTTCTTCTTCTTTTAGTTTATGGCGCACGTTTTTCCTTTCTCCGGATAGCATCGGCCATCCGTCCGTTCGTCCTGTAACTCTGCTTTACTCGCTCTCCTCTCCTCGTTTCGTTGCGATTTACGGTCACGCGCACGCGTGTGTGTATGGCTCTATCTCTCTTACTCGCTCGCTCTTTTTCTCTCTGTTTCCGGTTTTGAAACAAATGGTCGCCGACCAATAGAAAACGATACCCGCTTAGTCCGATCCCTCTCTGGAGGATCCCTAAAGGTGGAAGCACATAAAAATGCAGGAGCCATAAGCAGAATGCAGAAGCCATATGCGCATGCGCTATGGTATCTGTTAGAGCTCTACGAATACCATAGCGCATGCGCATATGGCTTCTGCTTTCTGCTCATGGCTCCTGCAATTTTATGTGCTTCCACCTTAACTCGGGTCAGTCGGGTCGCATCATGTATACAGGACTCTAGCATTGACGTGGAATACATACATATCTATGTATGTATTCCACGTCGACCACGTCCATTGATGCGACCCGAGTCGGGAGTCGGGTCGAGTAGTAAATCGAAAATGCCATAAGGCTGCGTTCGGAATAGCACCTGTATTCAATAGTGACACAAGCTTCATTTGACACTCAATTTTCATTCAACAAGAAATTGGCCGTATCGTCCACTGACAAGAGGCGGGTGCCATTAAACAAAAAAGAAGAAGGCCTTTATGGCTGCGGTTGACTTGATGCTACATATGTGTCAGTATCGTCAGTATGTACACATAAATATACGTAATTTATTTTATTTTACGTCGATACAAAATAAAATAAAAATGGAGAAAAAGAACGAGTTTTTATTTACAAATATAGTGATTGAATAAAACGAAATGGATATAATAAAGGAACATTTGCTGGTACCAACAAAGTATATGATACTGACAGATGAGAGAATTTGCTTGACAGTTCACAGAAATTGGCTTTCCCGGTTTTTAACAGTTGGCTCGTTTACTTTTATTAGTCACGATCGTTTGTCCAATGATGAAATTGCAGCGCAGCCGACTATCGATGAATTGGGTGGCGATTGGCTGAGAATTTATGCAAAAGTATTTTCAACATTTTTCGCATGTTTCATATGAAATAATATATATCGAGACACGAGGTAAAATTTTGTTATCATTAGGTATATGTAAAACAACACAGGAATGCAATTCCTTTACCGAGAGGAAGGCCTATCAGTAGCACAAGGAACCAAGAAGAGTTAATGTTTTCGCAATTGTTGCATTATGTGGCAGAAACTAATTATCGAAATCTATGGAAAGAAACATATAAGAAATATTACAGTATGTGTTCAACGTACCATTAAAAATTTTTAAACTTAGATTTCCAGCTTTTTGTTACTATCCAGTAAACAAACTCTGTAGTATGGTGATAGATTGGCTGTGGATTTATTCAGATATTTCAGTAATAGATTCAGTATCATTTATCTACATTAACTCATGGTTTTGCTGGCAGAGCTTGCTGATATAATCTGACAGTAGATTGTTGGTAGAAATTGAACAGAATTGTCACTTCATAAATATTTAAATGCTCAGTTTTTATAGTCAATCTATCATTATATTCTGTTAGCAGATCTGTTATATTTCTGCTAGCATTTTATCTACAAAATTTATTTTTAATTTTTAATATTCTTAATAGATTTGGTTATTCCGTATAGATATTTTTCTTTATATTAGTCAATCATTTCTTGTAAAATATGTACAGATCCCTGGAATTTTGTTGAACAAAAGGAACAATCTAATATCACTGCTAATGTAAGCGACGTTACCATCATGCATGAAATACTGAATAGAATGTATGGCTGTACTTTGGTACAAGTACAGCACGGTATGGTCTTATCAGTATCAAATGGTATATTATCTGAAACACATTGCAATCTCGTACCAATTCATTTTGCCATAGAAACATCATCCGCATTTATAATGTTCTATGAGCAGATTGCAAATTATTCTCTTCGTGAGTGAGTATACACAAACTATATTTATTTGTATATTTTCAACATATAACAATATTTGCAAGATATTTTTATATTCTATTACTTATAGACATTAATTTTAGGTGCGTAATGTACAGTCCCGCTGCTCTTAGTACGAGTCATGGAAAACCATTGTTTGTAGTTTATCAGTTATTGAGATTATCCAGAGACTTGCACGATCGTGGTCTTGCGTTAGGAGAAATTACGCTTAGTGACATATTGGTTACAGACAATTTTACTATTCAGGTATATCTTGCATAGCAGAATTAAATATTTTAGCACAATTAATATTTAGTATTTAATAAGACAAAAGAGTATAATGAGTATATAATAAGAATTCAATAAGATTGAAAGAAAAAATATCTTGTTTGTTAATTTTGTTCCTAGGTATTACCTAAATTAAACGATAATATTTATCTGAAACCTGATAGCGAGTGTACAGGTACTACTCAAAAAAGTAAAGAGAAAAATTTGAGTGACAATGTTCATGATAAAAAAAATGGTGGACTTTGTTCACACAACACTGATTTTGGTTTAAATGAAAATATTGAAAAATTATGCGAGATGTGGATGTATAATTGTATCAGCAACTTTGATTATTTAACTGCGATCAATAATTTGGCTGGTAGGAGATACGGTAATCCCAGCTGTCATCATGTTATGCCTTGGGTAACGGATTTTACATCGAGAAATGGTGGAAACTGGAGAGATCTGACAAAGTCCAAATTTCGATTAAACAAGGGAGACAGACAGTTGGATCTTACGTTTGACTCGCAATCAACCGAGGTATATAAATTGTGTGAATGTAAGAGACTTGTTTCGTGTTAAATAAAAGCAACGTTAATTCGTAGGTTGGACACCATGTATCTGACGTTTTGTCAGAGATTACCTATTATGTATATCTTTCACGCCGATATAATAAATCTGTGCTCTGTAAACATGTACGACCTTTATGGGTGCCTGGAGAATATCCAGCTTCAATTCAAAGATTACACGATTGGAGTCCTGATGAATGTATACCGCAGTTTTTTATCGATCCTAGTGTTTTTAAGGTAAAATAATTTAAATTATTTACGTACAGTTGAGAGAGAGAGAGAGAAAAACAAATTCTTGAAATAGGTTATCTCATGTACCTTCATTTATAACCTTAACTCTCATAAAATCGAGACATACAGGGTGCGTTCACGGAGCGCGCTGTTAGCGCTGTTGCGTCGTTCCTAAATATCTATATCGCTTATTAGATGTAAAACAAGTAGAGCGATGCAATAGCGTTAATAGCACGCTCCGCAAACACACGTAGACTAAAGGTCATGATCGAATCCGGAACCCGCCGATTAGAGCCAACTGCCATATGGAACCATGCATTACCGCTATAATATAAATTAATATTTAACAATAAAATATAGATTAGATATTTTTAGATTAAATGTCTTGTTTACAGTCTATTCACGAGGACTTGCCAGATTTAGAAATTCCAGCATGGGCAACGTCTCCAGAGGATTTTATTGAAAAACATAGGGAAACATTGGAGAGCTTTTATGTTTCGGAAAGATTACATCACTGGATAGACTTGACCTTCGGCTACAAGTACGAACGTAGTCCAATGAGTTATTTATTATTTATTCGAACTTTTCTGATATTATATTCATTATATGATAGATTATCAGGTTCAGCTGCTATAAAGTCGAAAAACGTTTGTCTACAATTAGTTGATAATCATACTGATTTAACTAATTCTGGTGTTGTACAACTTTTCACACAACCACATCCACAAAAAATAACTCCATCTCCCTATTGGGGTAAAGTACCACCACGTCTTCGGCCGATATCTTCAACTAATAGAAGTAGTAAGTTTTGACGGAGATTTCAAATTGTCAGAAATTTTGAGGATATTCTTGTATTGTAATAATTGTCAAATTATTATGATTATAGAAAGTGATCAACTCGCGAGTAGAATTAGTGACGATGAGGGCCACAGTTCTGGTGTTGAAGAAGAGGAATTATCTGCGACAGTAACGAACGCATCAAGATCGTCGCCTCTCATATTGAGTCGTTTATTGAGTCGTTCCAGAGGTTCTTTGCTTTCAGAGGATAACGTTAAATCAGATAAGCCCGTTAATCAGCCTATTATTCTTCCGAAGGATTTCAATCCCGTTGCAGCAATCGTACAAGTAGAAACTACACATGCCTTCATGCATAAAGTCAACCATCAAGTTTATAAACCTGCAATAGGATCACATGATTTTTCCACAAATTACAAGCAAATTGTAGCCAGTGGACGTATTAAAGAGCAACAAATACTCGGTTGTCTGATAGTGGAAATATTTCTAGCCGGAAAATTCCGCGCAACCTGGAACGTTGAAAAAGTATTATTTGCACAAAGATTCGCGACGTGTCTGAATATCTTAAAGACATCGGCAGATAATTTGCCGAAATGTATAAGAAACGTTGTGTCTTTATTGCTACAAATTGATATTATGCCAAAGAGTTATAATGTAGGTAACGTAGAGATGAATGATATTTCAATGGTAATTTTAATATTTCATATTATGCAGGATGTTTCATATTAGATAAAGATTTAATTGACTAATAAAACTAAGAAAAATAAACCAGAAAAATCATACTGTAAAATAGCTAATATTTCAGAGAATTTGGCTTAACGACAACTGCAGAATTCGAAAATTCATAAAAAAAAATGTCAGCATTTTTTTTCTACACATGCTTCAGCATACCTTCTTATACAGGTGATCGATTAACCTTCTCTCAGGTTAATCGATCACCCCAAAAACTTTTTTATTTGTAATTCTAGAAAGAAATGCTTCGGACGAAAGTTGTTTGGTTTGAAAGGGGACATATGATTCCAATGTCAGACGTATCATACATGTCGTCATTTTCAAGAAATTTTAAAAGAGACTAATTTCTTAGAATGGAACTTGATTTTTTCTTTGAATAAAAGTTATAGATCTTGTCGAGACGTTTTCAAAACACTATAATAAAGCTCTCTTTCGTTAAGGTGATGCTGGAGCTGTCTGTATAACCGACAAAATTACCATTTTCTATGCTATCGACCTATATCTGTTTTTGTATAGACAAGGATAGCACCTACATTGCACGCACACATACGCACGAATCGTCATACATACTATACTTTTATATTAGACTTCTAATCTAGATTTGGAGGGTCCATTGATGTTTTTCTTGTTGTGCAATTCAGGGAAACTCGTTTTCACGTTCGTATCAATGGTATATCTTTTATATGAAGCACATCTTTTGGGATGAGCTGACAGCGATTGCTATAACTTGAGACGCCATATTAGGATAAAAGTAGGTAAGGAAATCTGTAATTCGTAATTTTTTCTCGTTTTCTATATCAAATCGGAGTTTCCCTGAATTATTGATGTATGTACTGCAATTATGGAGAAGCATTTTTAATTTCGTCAAATTAATACGACGCTACATGAGTAGAAAGAAAATGGTAATTTTATCAATAAAACAGACGACTCCAGCATCATCTTAAGAATTTCCTGAGATATTTAAAATTTTATTATATTTTTAGTATAAAATATGAAATATCTCATAGAGTATTCACTTTTCGATGACTTTACCTTCACTTTACTTTTATACGTAGAATAATGAAAGGAATCGATTGTTGTAAAAATATATTTTATATATATATAGAAAGTTATTTAAAAAAATTTGATTGCATTTTATAGACGCATTCAATTTTGCAAAATTGCAAATGTAAAAATTATTATTCATTTCCTTTCATTATTCTACGTATACAAGTATGAAGGTGAAGTTATAGAAAAGTGAATATACTTCACAAGATATTTCATATCTTAGATTAAAAATATTATAACAAAATTTTAAATATCTTGGGAAATTCTTAATGAAAGAGGGCTTTATTATAGTGTTTTGAAAACGTCTCGACGAGATCTACAACTTTTATTTCAAGAAAAAAATCAAGTTTTATTTAAAAAATTATTCTTTAAAATTTCTTGAAAATGACATGTATGACACGACTCATATTGAAATCATATATATGTCCCCCTTCAAATCAAACAATTTTCGTCTGAAACTTTTTTTTCTAGAATCACAACTAAAAAAGTTTTTGGGGGTGATCGATTAACATCGGACACCCTCTATACAAACATATATGCGTTTAAAAATTTTTGGAATTTCTTCTACATTAATCAAAAATCATTTTCGGTGCATTGTCTGACAATAAGTTTGTTGACGCTCTCCGATATATCTGAGATATTAATGATTTTATAATTGTATAAAGAATATATTTTATAAAAAGCTCGATATTTTGAAAATTAATTTACGGGTCTAACAATAAGACATTTATTAAGACTTTCTTTATTTGTTTTTATAAGGTCTAGTCAGTTAAGTCTTTCTATAATTCTGAAAGATCTTATATTTTATCGAGATACACATTGCAGAATTTATTATAAGTATAATATGCACGTGATAAATTTTATATTTAGATGAATGAGACCTCTTTTCGTTATTCAACGATAACATACATGGGCCTACCACCGCCATCCGCTCATCAATTTCTTCAACCAATTTTATCTGGCAGTCTGTTCCCATTCTCCAAATATTGCCAATACTTATATAACATTGTTAAAATGTTGCAAGAATACAATGGTTTGGTACGAGAATTAAATTCTATTGTGAAGATCGAGGACGATGTTGATTTTTTAATAAAAACGAAGACAAAGTACCTGTGTAAAATTTGTGAGTGCAAAGTAAAAGCAATCGCCAGGGAATTAGAACGGCTTTTACCTTATGTCGGTGGTATGAGAGAAGCCACTTTGCAATTGATAGTACCTCACATAGTACAAATTATGGAAGAACCTTATAGTGCGGTATTGGCAGTATGGCATCTTTTCGATCCCATTGCAAAGTAAGTGCATTTACAATTTTTTTTTCTGAGTAACTATATTATTAGATTCTTTCGATTTTTCTCATTTTCTGTTGCAGAACGTTGGGACCGAAGGATACAGTCGATACATTTCTCTCACCTATTACAAAACTGTACGAGAACGGCTCTATCATGGATACTGCATTGTACGCTGATATAATACCTACGGGAACGCTCGCAAAGTTTCGAACTACTCGATTATATCACCGAATGTTCCTGCTGAAGTTAATAGTTAGGCTAGGGCTACGAAGATTTTTAGACAATTTCATAAATCCTTTGGTGGAAGCGGTGGGAGGATACAAAGATTATGTACAGGGCTCGATTGACACGTGCACTCATAGAACTGTGAATTTGAAGTAAGAAAAAAAGTGATAATTAAGGAGGTTCTACAGGTACTCTTTAGTCAGTTGAGAGATGAAGAGAAAATCTTCAAATTCATCGATTCTAAGTATTCATAAAATATTTTCGTGAATTTTGATGACCTTAGAGCTTATATCATACCCATATTAGTCGAAGCGAGGAATAATTAAAAATATCATTTACACGCTCGTAAGTGCTCCTTGACTCTGGCGGCTTATACATGGAAGAAAGTGTGGTAACGTCGCGAACTTGACAGTTCTGCTCACATGACCGTGGTTATTTCACAATTTCACAATTCTAGAGCGAGTACTTCTCCGTAAGCGCTCGTAAACGTTAGGTGCTTAAGTTTGAGGTGCTGTCATACTGTGGTGCTGTACTGGCTGTACACTTTGTGCGGGTGCAGTCGCTGCGACATTGCCAAATCTCCCTTGTTATTCGAAGCACGCTACGTGAACTGTGATATGGCCTGTTTCAATAGCCAATATCACAAAATTTTACGCGATAACCCTTGTTTTTCTCGATATTTCTGAAAAGCTTAGATTAAGATCTATAAGAGCTCCGTTTTTGGAATCTGGTAGGTCGTCTTTATATAATTAGTATCTCGTTTCCTGTCTCCAAGAGCCCCTCGGCCATATGTAGCTCATGTTAAAAACTGTGATTTCAAAATTCATTTTTGCAAATTTTTACACGATAACCGATGCTAAAATTTTTCGAGCACTTTTCTTGCATCTCAATTTATACGTCCATGAAGTTTTTTTCAATTTTTAGATACATCCATTATTTGTAGAACCTCCTTAATTTATTAATTGTATTTTATTATGATTTTAATGTAGTTTCACATATCATATTACTCCATATTGCTTATAAATTTCTATGAAGGAGCTGCGACTTAAGTGGACCTTGCAGTGAGGGAGAAGGTATTTTATCTCCATTAGATGAAGATTCATTTGCAGACACCGAACACAATGTCGCTGTATTTTCTGTACCAACGATCAACGATCACATGTCTAATGTAACAACAGAGAACAATGTCGAAGGTGATTGGCTAAATAAGTCGTTAATGATTTAATAAGTAGGGAAGACTGGGGCTATTCGTGACATATTTTTGTTTCGAATTTTTTTTCTCGTTTCGTATAAATGTTTAAAAAATGTTTATTAGTGCGATGTAATCGTTCATCTCTCTAGTTTAAAAAAAAAAAAGGTTTTTCTCTCACGAGTCTCGAAATATATCAAGAAATGTATCGCTGTGTCATGTGTCACGAATTACCCCGGCCCCGGGGTAATTCGTGACAGGCCATGGAGTAATGCATAACACTTTCTCTGATTGAACAAACTATATGGATTTTTTTCGTTTTTGCAATTTTTATCTACTTTATACTTTGAAAAAGCCTTTGTCAGAATTTACATATTATATGTATAAAAAATTATGAGGAAAAAAGTAACGCCTGTTCCATTAATCGCCCTCATCGCTCACATTCGATTACGGGGAACCACTTCTCGAAGGCGTCCATGGCCCCTGTTACTGGTTCTTCCTTTGAACGCTTATTTGTGGTTTTTTTGGTTGCCCCGATTGCTCGTGTCACAAAATGCCCCGGGGTGGTTTTTCCTCATTCATGATCCGTGACTTATAGATAAGAAAGAATACCATAAAATCTACTCATGCATTATGCTTAGTGAAGTCGAGTGACTGAATATAACTTACCGTTTCGGATCTCTTATTATTTTATTCGGCGAGAAAACATTTTCGGGATTTGAAAATTTTTACTTTGAGCACTTGAAATCAGACTTTTTGTCACTGAGAGAGAAAAATGATTGACACGCAAATGCCATTCCGTTGGTACCTAGAGGACACTAAAGAGACATCTGTGATTGATATTACAGGTTTCTAACAGCAAGCATTTTAAAGTTAGGCCCGCGACAAAATTTTAGCAGTGTCACGAATAGTCCCGGTCTCCCTTATCTCTGAGAAAAATTATCTGATAATTTTTATTGGACGTATTACAGAAGTATTTGCCATGGAGACGGAGAATAATTCGTGGATTTCATTAAATAATACCGCGCCATACGATATCGACTTACATATAGATCTCAACTTGAATGCCTGCGATGATTTGAATGACGATGGAAACAAAAATTCGCCGGGTAGCTCCGTTAAATCGCCAACGATTCCGATACCTAAACAATCAAATATCAGTGGAGCTAAATTGGTAACCGAGTTTAATAGTATCGGTTGCAACGTTGGCAGTAAAACTTCCAGCGAAGATTTTACTTATGTTAATGCATACGCCACGAATATCCATTCCGATAGTAATCTCTCAGAAAATATGTGCAATATAGATATTAAGGAAGACAATCCTGCTATGCTTTCTGCGGATCTTGATAACAAAAGCGATGTAATCAAATCAAGCGATGAAGATGTACGTCAGCTGGATCATATTTACCGAAAATCCGTTCTAAGTGAATGCACAATTTCCGAGATGAGCGCGGAATCTGTTATCTGGCTGTCTCATAGACTTGGCCCAGTACTCACAGCACGATACTTATCGCGAAATCTTCTGAGAATGCTGACGTTATGTTACGCTGGGAAAGAAAATTTAATGCCAACCGATGACAATAATTTTATGCGTGTGGAGGGTGTTGCATGGAAGAAGCCGATACTAGCCGGTGATCAAAATGCTATTAAAGTCTTAGAGTGTCTCACAGCTATTGCAGGTACGTACGAAAATATGCGAATCATTTTAATTGCGTCAGTAAAAACAGTTTATGAACTATTTTTCCAGGATTATATGGAGAACAAATTATATTGCTGCAATATTTCGCACATATAGTTGAGCTATTAGCATTGTGCAAGAGAAAGCTTACGCAAAATTTGGAAGGAGGCCTAATTTCTTGTCTGGCTCTATTAAATCACATCACAACATATCTCAATGATTCTACGTTAATGGATGTGCTTCATGTAATGTTTATCATATAATTAATAACTATACATTTTAATAATATAATGAAAAAAATAGCTCTTATTTGTCCATATTTGAATGTAGGAGCCGATTGTTAAATCTATCCTGCATCCCACAGTACGCATACTGTCAACCGCGAGATTTACATTTCCAAATGGAACGCTTGCACGCATTGCCTTAGCTGAAAAATGCTTGGAAGCGATGTTCACTCTTAGCTTACGGCTCGGCAGCGTGATCACGAAAAATCATTTAGCAGTACCAATTCAACGCTTCTTTCTGGCCTTTGACAAAGCTTTCAGTAAAAATTTAGATGGTGGAGTCCTGTTGAATAATTTTGGGCAAAAAGCAGGCACAACCTGCGAGCATTTTGTACGGTAATAATACGGAGACGAGTACTTCAATTTGATTATACATTGTGCGTTAATGAAATGCAGAGATATATGCAGAAATATTCTTATCGTTTTTACTATTTCACAGGATGAAAGCTGCGAATGAAGAATCTGTTAATAATGAAACTTATGCGTGGAACAAACTTGACGCAGACATTGCAGATTCGTATTCCCCTCCGGTTGTAGAAAATAGCGACGTGTCAGACTTGCAAAGAAATAAAGTAAGATCTAATAGTTTGATTTTTTTTAACGTGAACGCAAATGTGTATATGTACTAAATTTTACTTACAGGCATTTGAAGAACTACGAGCAGTATTCAATACTGAGTTTGCTCATAAATCATACATGCTTTTTTATAGATGTGTCGATATTGAAATGATGGAACATATACTTAAAAATCACGAGCATATAAAAGAGCTTTGTCACGATTACGAGCAGGGGATAAAAGCAATCTCCGTAAATAACGGTAGATGTCCCACAAAATATATTACTTAGTTATTAGTCGTTATAAATAATACGCAAATAATATGTTCATCCTTGTGTCTCATTGTTAAAGATAACGTGGATAAGTACAATACTTCCGTGGATTGTGATGTAGCAGAGAATGTAGAATCGGTTGATAAAGGTGTTTGCAGCTTTGGGAATATATCTGTGATAGGAAATAGATTCGAGATACAGAAAGATGACGCGAGATTTCAATCGGCGACGGAGATTGTTGCCAGTCGCGAAACTTGTCCGTCATCCGTTGGTAGACAACTACGCGGTAATTGGCTAGCCTATTGGGAGCACGAGATAGGGAGACCGGAGAAGGATACGATATTTAATATAAAACAGATAAAACTTCAGACTTTCAACGGACATACAAATAGTGTGAGATGTCTTTACGTGTTAGACAATGAGAACAGTTTTATGAGTGGTGGCAGAGACAAAACTGTGAAATTATGGAGTTTACGAAGCCAGGTAAGATATATTCCATTCAATTTGACAAAATGTCCATTGTATAACATCCAGAATTATGATTTTACTGATATAATGGAATTAGGGTGATGGAACTACAGTCTCATCGTGTCAATACACATATACTGGACACAAGAAATCTATTCTTTCACTTACATTTTTGGAATCTTTGAGATACGCAGTGACATGCGATGGCGTGATTCATTGTTGGGATCCTTTTATGGGTTCGCTTCTGGGATGTCCGGAAAGTAGTCGTCCTGTGAACACTTTAGCCTCGAGTCCTTCTCCGTCCACGACTCTTCTTGTAGGAACAACGGACATTACCCTTAGAGTTATTGATTGTAGAACATTCCAGTATGTCAATGAAATGAAAGTAAGCATGAAATATGTCGATATTGCGTGAAATTATAATTACTAATATTCGTATAAAATTTAACGTATTAAATCATATGATAAGGTTTCTATGAATCCGACTGGTTTAATAAGATGTATCACAGTATCGCCCAGTGGTAACTGGGTCGCTTTAGGTCAAGCATCAGGCTTCTTGACGATACTCGATACTCGCACTGGTCTAATTATTGCGTCTTGGAAGGGACATGAATGTGAGGTAAAGACTTAATGACTTTTATCGACTTTTAGACTTGATATAAGAATTCACCGTTTCATTATTGATTTTTAATGTCACAGATACTGCAATTAGAAGCGATAAACGAAACTACTATAGTTAGTTCTTCGTTGGACCAAACTATAGCCGTGTGGAGTGCAATAGATGGAAAACTTAAATTTCATATGAAGTAAGAAAAACCTGTAATGTTATTTGAAATTAGACATACAAAATATAATTTACATAAATTATCCTTCATTAATTTTTAGAGGCGCAACAGAGCCTGTTCATTGCATGGCAATGCACGAACAGGTATTAGTGATAGGAACAACAGCAAATCGAATTGGTGTCTATACCGCTATAGAAATGACTGCTTCATTAAGTTCATCGAAATTGAGATCTGACGCTTTTAAAGGCATTCTTACTGCCATGGCTGTCCTTCCTCTCAATCGATTATTATTATTAGGCGCTGACAATGGTGGAATAACACTACTATGTTAAGAACGCTTCAGACGCTATTTACAGAGCAGCGCAAAATGACTGGACATTATTAAATATAATAATGGGAAAGAATAGAAAAGTATATCTAATTTAACGGAAAGCGCGAAAAATCTATTAAAATAAATTTCATTTTTATAGAATATATTCAAGAGAAAGATCTCTTATATATGGATAATGTCTGTCCTTGTCGCTATTACTTTTAGAGCAAGTTTAGTAGGCATTTTGTGTACTCCAACATCCGCTAAGATCTCTGTCGATGCATTTTTGTCATTATTATTTAGCGCTTCTTCAAGCAATATTACTGAACCCGTCAAGACATTTAAAAGTATACATGCTTCCTTGATTCTGGAACATCAAAATAACTGAATCATGGCATCTGTTTTAACTACTAAGTGAATATAGCTTTAATAATTTTAGAGACTTACAAAGGAAAGTACGATTCTGGTTTGTCAATGTACAAACCAAATAATGGAAATAAGTTCCTCAAAATATCGTATTGTAATTGTTCGGCACCGCCGCTATTGAAATGATTTACAAGTACAACTTCTTCGAAGAGAAACTGCGAAAAGAAGGATTTGAGAAGAAGACACAAATTACTATAGGTGAATAGCAATCTATTTCCTTTGATTTTTATTTTGCATACTTGATCAAATTGAGCGGCTAAATTCTTCCAAGCTTGATTAAACAACGGCAATGCAAGAACACTGTGCAATGTATGAAGACGCGTAGCTAGTTCTTGGAACATGGGACAACCACTCGGTGTTACTGATAATGAAGCAACTTCTTTTGAAGACTGCATCGCAAACCATCTTGGAATAATAAAAAGCACTTTTTAAATGTAATGTGAATGAAATAATAATCGTAATAGTGAACGGTGAGTAAAAGTTCTTACTTATCCGTCCTGTAAGCTCTACTTTTTGCCTTTACATCTAAAGCAACTGAATCGCTGATTTCATTTATCAGTTGCTTCTCTAATCGTCGTAAGAGAACTACAGCTTCGTCAAATACAGTTCCCTCTATTTCTCCGGTGTTCTCGTTAACGTCGCTGCCTCTGTCAATAGCATTTTCCACAGCTTCGAATTGCTTCTTGAAGAAATGCAGCTGCAAGAAGTGCTACACACAAATGTAAGATCGTGATAAGTAATGTCATTTTTTTTTGTGTGATTGTAGGTGAAGATATACATACAACAGTCACGCCCCATTCTTCCAAAACGGTTGCGACATAATGTAATGTATTGAGAATATATGGCATAAGCGACGTTAATGGATCTTCATAATTTTCATGTAGCAATTGTAACAATCGTACTCGCCAATCGTCAACCAATTCTAATTGCAAGTCGAGAAACTGTAATCTTCAACAATATCAATATAAACAATCGTCAGTACTATCGTCTCTTATTTACAACGATCTCGTATGATTTACCTATGTCCAGGCTGTGGCAAATGTTTATATCTATCAGAAATCGTGGTGAGCAGTGTGAGAAAGGCATCTGCGCATTCAGTGACTTTCATGTCATCTATATCAGGACCCGTCAGTCTTTCCCACGCTGTATTCGAACTTAATATTGCATCCATTTTTTCAGTCGCGTCTAAACAGCACAAATATATATAATACATATACACACACACACACACACACACACACACACACA